GTTCATCCAGCTCTACACCTTGTTGTCTCAGATTCTCCAGCATCTGCAGTTCCTACTATCTCTGAAACATATCTCTGTTAAAGCATGTGTTATTGAGAGGCAAGGGGTGTTTTTGTGTTTGTGGTGGATGAGAGGCTTGGGACCAGTGTAAACAATAGGCAGGAAAATCAAAAACAGACATTGCTGGAAAAGCTCAGCAGGTCTGGCAGCTTCTGTGAAGAGAAATCCGAGTTAATGTTTCAGGTTCAGTGACCCTGCTCTAGAACTGATGATAGCTAGATAAAAAGAGATTTTTCTGATGAAGGGTCTAGGCCCGAAACGTCAGCCTTCCTGCTCCTCTGATGCTGCTTGGCCTGCTGTGTTCATCCAGCTCTACACCTTGTTATCTCAGATTCTCCAGCATCTGCAGTTCCTACTATCTCTGATAGCTAGATAAAAGTTGGTTTTTGTGCAGAAGAGAGGGTAAGGAGTAAATGATAGATGGGGATAGAGCCCAAAGAGAGAGAAGAGCAGTTGGACAAAGGAGTAGGTAACGATCCGCCCAGGATAATGAATGGCTGCTAATGAGAACAGTTAGTGGCTAATGGTGGGAAGTGTATAATAGCAGACCATGTGTTAACAAGGCCTGGTGTGTGGGGGTTGGGATAAAGATATTGGAGAAAGTGTCTCAAGCCCTAAAATTGTTGAACTTGGTATTGAGTCCAGGGGGTTGTAGAGTTCATGAGCAGAAAACAAGGTGCTATAGGAAAGAAAATCTGTCCCACTATTTTCCACTGGTCTCTCTCTAGTCAGTAATAAAAACAAAGTTCTTTCCGTTCTGTCTAGTCAGTGTTTTGTAGCGTATCACATCACTTCTTTCTCACTTCCTTGTATTGTGTCTCCTCTTTGTTCTCAACAGTTCCAACTCAGATGAGAAACTTCAGCTCCCCGCGCCCTCCGCCCCCCCATCCCCCCATTCTGGGGGGAGCTGCTTCATGTTTTTGTGGGTGGTGTTGCAGTGTGTTTCCTGAATACACAGGTGGCACCACCTTCAATACTGGTAGCTGCAGCTCTGTCCCATCGCCCTGCCGCAATCTTTCTGTGCACGTACAGCTGCTACTCAACAAGTTGCATTGCTAATCAGGGAGAACGTTACATCTGCACTCGGAGAAGAGATGCTGGAGGGCTTCATCCACTGAGGCAAAATGGGTGGAGCTCAAAAATAAGATCAGTGCAATCACTCTGATTGAATATTATAGGCCTCCCCAAGAGCCACTGCAAGATTGAGAGACAAATATGTAGGCAGACTATGGAAAGGTGCAATAAAAACAGAGTTGTCATTGGGAGTGACGTTAACTTCCCCAGTGATGACTGGGACTCCCTTAGAGCAAGAGGCTCAAACGGGACAGAATTTGTTAAGTGCATCCAAAAGGGTTTCTTGAAACAGTATGTGGATAGTCCTGCTAGAGGAGGGGCCATACTGGACCTTGTATTGGCTAATGTGCCTGGCCAGGTGACTGACCTTTCAGTGGGAGAGCATTTTGGAAACAGTGATCACAACTCTTTACGTTTTAAGATAGCTATGAACAAGGATAAGTCAGGACCTTGCAGGAAGATACTAAATTGGAGGGAGGGAAAATTACGTTCAGTATTAGGCAGGATCTGAGAATGGTAATTGGGAGAGGCTGTTTTCAGGCAGGTCCACATTTGATATGTTGGAACTGTTTAAAGACCTGCGGGGGAGAGTTCAAACCGATATGTTCCAGTAAGGAGGAAGGACAAGAATAACGAGGGAAATGGTGAATTTAGTCAGAAGGGGAAAAAAAAGCATATGTAAAGTTCAGGAAGCTAAGATTGGACAGGACCGGTGAGCAATATAAAGAAAGCAGGAAAGTACTCCAGCAGGGAATTAGGGGAGCAAGAAGGGGCCATGAAATGACCTTGGCAAGTAGGGTTAGAGAGAATCCCAAGGCATTCTATAAATACATTAAAAACAAGAGGATAACTAGGAAGAAGGTAGGACCACTCAAAGATAAAGGAGGGAATTTGTGCTTGGAGGCAGAGAATTTAGGTGAGATCCTAAATGAGTACGTTGCAATGGTATTCACCCAGGAGAAGGATGTGGTGGATAGTGAGATTTGTGTGGAGCATACTAATATGCTCGGGCATTTTGAGATGAAGAAAGAAGTGGTGTTGATCTCTTGAAGAGCATTAAGGTGGATAAGTCCCCGGGTCCTGATGGTATCTACCCCAGGTTATCGAGAGAAGCAAGAGAGGAGATTGCTGGGGCCTTGACCAAGATGTTTGTATCCTTGCTAGCCATTAGAGACATCCCAGAGGACTGGCGAGTAGCTAATGTTATTCCTCTGTTCAAGAAGGGAAATAGGGATAATCCTAGAAACTACAGACCAGTGAGTCTCATTTCAGGTCTTAGGATGTTGTTGGAGAGAATTCTTAGGGATAAGATTTATGCATATTTGGAAAAGCATGGCCTAATTAGGGACAGTCAGTATGGCTTTGTGCAGGGCAGGGCAGGTCTTACTAATGATTGATCACCTTCATCATCTCCTTGAAAAATTCAGTGAGAGTAGAGCAGTGGATATTGTCTACATTGATTTCGGTAAGGTTTTCAGCAAGGTCCCTCATGGAAGGCTCATCCAGAAGGTTAAGCTGCATGGGATCCGCAGTGCCTTGGCAGCATGGATTCAGAATTAACCTGCCTGTTGAAGACAGAACTGAGGAACGGTCACTGGACCTGAAACATTAACTCTGATTTTTTTTCTTCACTGATGCTGCCAGACCTGCTGAGCTTTTCCAGCAACTTCTGATTGTGTTCTTGATTTACAGCATCTGCAGTTCTTTTGGTTTTTATTTATGTGATGGAAGGATATTTTTTAGGCTGGAGGCCCGTGACTAGTGTGTTCTGCGGGGATCTGTACTGGGACTTCTGTTTGTGATGTATATAAATGACTTGGATGAAATGTAGATGGGTGGGTTAGTAAGTTTGCAGACAATACAAAGATCGGTGGAGTTGTGGATAGTGTAGAAGGTTGTCAAAGGATACAGCGGGATGTGGATCAGTTGCAGATATGGGCAGAGAAATGGCAGATGGAGTTTAATCTAAAGATGCTGCACTTTGGGAGATCAAATGTTAAAGAAATGTATACAGTTCATGGCAGGATCCTGAACATCATTGATGTACAGAGGGATCTTGGGCTTCAAGTCTGTAGCTCCCTGCAAGTGGCCATGTGAGTAGATAGGGTGGTAAAGAAGGCGTATGGCATGCTTGCCTTTATTGGTCGGGGAATTGAGTACAAGAGTCAGGATTCATGATGCTTTATAAGACTTTGGTTAGGCCACACTTAGAGTATTGCATTCAATTCTGGTGATCACAATGTAGAATGGATGTGGAGGCTTTGGAGAGGATGCTGAAGAGGTTTACCAGGATGTTGCCTGGATTAGAGGGTATCAGCTATAAGGAGAGGCTAGAAAAACTTGGGTTGTTGTCTCTGGAAAAGGCTGAGGGGTAACTTGATAGAAGTCTGTGAAATTATGAGATACTTAGATAGGGTTGACAGTCAGAATCTTTTTCCCAGAGCTGAAATGTCGAATACCAGGGGGCATGCATTTAAGGTGAGAGGGGGAAAATTCAAAGGAGATGTGAGGGACAAGTGTTTTACACAGAGAGTCGTAGGAGTGTGGAATGCGCTGCCAGGGGTGGTGATGGAGGCAGATACGATAGGGGTGTTTAAGGAACTTTAGATAAGCACCTGAATATGCAAGGAATGGAGGGATATGCACCAAGGGCAGGCAGAAGGGCATCATGTTTGGCACAACATCCTGGGCCAAGGGGCCCATTCCTGTTTTGTGCTGCTCTGTGTAAACTGCTGCTTGGATGAGGGAGGCTGGATTGGGATGGAGTGTGGTCAGAGCTGGAAAGGGGTGAGTTGGTGATGTTACTGCTCACACACTAGAATGACAGACAGAACGGGCACAATGGAGCTGGAGTGGGCCTGGTGGGTGAGCAAACAGAGAGTAGGGGAGGGGGCAGCTGGATAAACACAGGAAGGAGAAAGGAATAAAAGGATATAGGGCTATGGAGCAGTGAAGTGTGGGTATAAAGAACATTTCCAGACTCAGTGTGGGTTTGAAGGTTTCCCAATGATCAGTGTTGATCTTTGTTTCCAATCCTCTTGCAGGGACACGACGATGTTTGCAGTTTCTGCAGAGGTGAAAGGTTTGGAAACTATGGTCAATCTCTTGGCTGATGTGGTGCTTCAACCAAGATTAACAGGTAACGGTGATATGGGAGCAGAGAGCTTCATTTAACCGTGCACAATCACAATGAAATGTACGTGTTTGTGTTCACTAGCTGGTCTGAGTCCAGGATTAATGTTATTCCTGGTTTATAGAATGGTCATGAGCCAGATTTAGAATGGAGAGTGTTGGAGGGGTCACTCCAACTGCTTTTCCCTCCTGTTGGGCCTGAAAGCCTCCTCTGCCTGGCTGCTTTACAAGCTGGAGTTCCGTGAGAGGTGAGTCACAGGGTGAGAGCAGGCTGGGACAGCCCGATAGCAGCTCAGGGGTCAGGAGGAAGGGGATGGAACCCTGTTGGAAGTGAATATCCACAGCTGGATTTGCTCCTGGCTGTACAGCATCTGTCTGCCTCTCTCCTTAATTTTTAACTGGATGTGGGAGCCCAGCATTTATTGCCCGGAGAGCAGGTGACATTCACCCACATTGCTGTGGGTCTGGATGTAGAGCCAGACCAGGTAAGGATGGCAGTTTCCTTCCCTAAAGGACATTAGTGAATCTGTTGGGTTTTTTCCAACAATTGACAATGGATTCATGGTGATCATTAGACTCTTAATTCCAGATATTTACTGAATTTAAATTCCGCCATCTAGTGGTGGGATTCAAGCTCAGGGCCCCAGAACATGACCTGGGTCTCTGGATTAACAGGCCAGTGATAATCCCAGTAGGCCATCACCTCCCCACGTCACTTCCCACCATGTGCCGTGCCGTGAATTCAAACTCATGGCCTCAGAGCATTCATCTGGGGGCTGTGGGACTGACCATGGACAGGGTCCAGGGCCCAGGGCCCACACTCATGGCTTTGTCAATTTGTTTGTTACAACAGACGAGGAGTTGGAGATGATGCGCCTGTCGGTCCGTTTTGAACTGGAAGATTTGCAGATGCGACCGGACCCCGAGCCCCTCCTGACAGAGATGATTCATGCGGTAATGTCACTTTTCCAGTATCCCAGGTTGAAAGACACAGTGACTGTGTCAAGCAAAGTGAGGTTTGTAACGACAGCAGACGTTGCAAGCAGATACGCAGTGAAAGACCTGGATGTCTGCCTGCTTCCTTGTGATAGCAGCGTAGGGACATCACAAAGGAAGGAGCATGTGCATTTCTATAGTGCCTTTCATCCAGATGGTCACAATCACTTGCAGCCAGTGAAGTAGTTTCAAGTGTGGTTGTCAAAACAAGACCTTCCGACAGTGCCCACCCCCTCAGCACTGACCCTCCGACAGTGCCCACCCCTTCGGTGCTGACCCTCCGACAGTGCCCACCCCCTCAGCGCTGACCCTCCCTCAGCACTGACCCTCTGACAGTGCCCACCCCCTCAGCACTGGCCCTCTGACAGTGCGGCGCTCCCTCGGCGCTGACCCTCTGACAGTGC